GAGACCTACACCAGTTTAAGTGCGCGGACTCTAATCTGGGTTTGATTCCCCACTCCTCCACTTGCAGCTGCTGGATGACCTTGGGCAAGCCATAGTTCTGACAAGAGCTGTCCTTGAAAGGGCAGTTCTGGAAAGAGTTCTCTCAGCCCCACCTGCCTCACAGGGTGTCTGTTGTGGTGAGGGGAAGGGAAAGGAGTTTGTAAGCCGCTCTGAGACTCCGAGTGAAGGGCGGGGTATAAATCCAATCTCTTTTCTTCTTCTTCTATAAATGCCATAGGTTAAAGTGAAGGAGGACGAATTGCCTTTGACTCTGCCTCCTGCAGCACATAGGGTTGCCAGCTCTGGGTTGGTAAACACCTGGAGATTTTGGGGGTGGAGCCTGGGGAGGGAGGGACTTGCAGGGATAGGACCTAAGTAGGGTATAATGCCATAGAGTTCAGCTTCCAAAGCAGCCATTCCCCCCCCCCAGGGGAACTGATCTCTGTTGCCTGGAGAATAGTTCTAATTCTAGGAACTCCCCAACTCCCACCTGGAGGTTGGCAAACCTAAGCAGCAGCCATTTTGGGTTTGTCTCTGTCTCCTTTGGCAGCCATTTTGTGGTGGCACTCATCACCACCTCTCAAAATTCCAAAGGTGCCCACAGGCTCAAAAGGGGAGAGGACCCCCGCTCCATCTTTCATAGCTATCTAAGCTAGGGGACAACACAGTGGATGGCAGTAAATTGCGTAAATGACACAGTGGATTGCGTAAATTAAATGTGTTGGGTGAAGAAATGGTTTTCATCTGTCCTAAATCTACCGTCTGTCATGTTCATGGGACTGACCCCGAGTTCGACTGTTACAGGAGAAGGGAAAGAAGTTCTCTGTCTCCATTTCATAAACCTTTGTCATATCCTTCCCACAGTTACCCCTCCCCCTCCAATGTCCTACCAGATAAGAGAGTCTGAAAAGACTGAAACTTGGGAGGCCCAGTTTGAATTCCAGTCCCCCATGCCACCTGACTCTTCTGACTACCAACCCAAGCAAGAACTCTTCCACTGCTGTACTGACTGGGAACACCGCCAGTTAATGAGGCCATCTGAGAACCTCCTGTCTTGCCAAAACACACTAGTTCTTAGAAGCACAGTCAAAAGCAGATAGGAAATTTCCCCCCTCAGTCTGATGACACTCCAGAGGTAATAATATAGGGCACAGACAGGCAGTGTGAAGAACAGAAAACTGTGACTGATGGTCTGGGGGCACCAACGGTAAATTCAAGAGCTGCCCAGAGTGGAAGAAAACTAGGGCAACATTTTCACGCTCAATTAACATGGATTAGTTGCTCTGAAGTACATGAGACTCAAAGCCAGGATGATGGGGAGGGGGGAAGAAAGAGCACGGCTCTCCCCCCTCCCATTTTAATGCTTGTCTTGGACTAGAAAATAAGAACAGCCCTGCTTGATCAGACCAGTGAGGGTCCATCTAGTCCAGCATCCCGTCTCACACAGTGGCCTCAACCAGTTCCTCTGGACGGCCAACAACAGGGCATAGCGGCCGAGGCCTTCCCCTCATAAGAACATCGGAACAGCCCTGCTGGATCAGACCAGTGGGGGTCCCTCTAGTCCAGCATCCTGCCTCACACAGTGGCCTCAACCAGTTCCTCTGGAGGGCCAACAACAGGGCAGAGAGGCCGAGGCCTTCCCCTCATAAGAACACCAGAAGAGCCCTGCTGGGTCAGACCAGTGAGGGTCCATCTAGTCCAGCATCCCATCTCACACAGTGGCCTCAACCAGTTCCTCCGGACGGCCAACAACAGGGCATAGAGGCCGAGGCCTTCCACTGATGTTGCCTCCTGGCTCCGGGATTCAGATGTTTAGTACTTCTGAATGTGGAGATTCCCCTCAGTCACCCTGGCTAGGAGCCCTTGACAGACTTATCCTCCATGAATCTATCTAATCCCTTTATAAAGCTGTCTAGGCCTGTGGCCATCACTACTTCCTCTGGCAACAAATTCCACATTTTAATCAGTCTCTGTGTACATAAGTATTCCCTTTTGTCCGTCCTGAATATACTATTCATCTGCTTCATTTGATGCCCTCTTGTGTTTTGGGAGAGAGAGAAAAATTTAACCCAAGTGAGATCTTGATCTGCCTGTCGTGCTAAGCCTGTCTGGGCCGTACAACTTCAGAGTCCTGTGGTAGAATATCCATCTGCTTCATTTGATGCCCTCAAGTTCTTGTGTTCTGGGAGAGGGAGAAAAATTTAACCCAAGTGAAATCTTGAACTGCTTGTCGTGCTAAGCCTGTCTGGGCTGTACAACTTCAGAGTCCTGTGGTAGAATATTCCTCCATAGCCGAAATCCCCACAGGAATTTTGTATGAAAAGCTAGCATGTCAGGAACAAGGTGAGTTTAGAATACTGACATACTAGGTTTCTGCAAGCAGAGGAACTGCTTCTCTTTAATTTACTGAGAAGCATGCACTCATGAGACCTATCACCTGCAGCCTGTAACAGTATAGCTCACACACATTTACCACCTCAGTGAGAACTAGGTCTCTGTGGCTGCCATTACAAAACCAGCTTGTTCCAGTACATTAAACCAGTACTTAATCCAGTTGTTCCAGTAGCTCTGGCACAGCACATGAGATACAAAAACCAAAGGCCGCCTTCACCCCCGCCTTCTACTAAATGCTTATAGATGTGTGTTACTGGGCCAGTGTGGCTGATAAGACTACGACCTACACAAGATCACGCACAGAAGGAATTTAAATCTGGGTCTCTCAGTCCTCCAAATGAGCACATCTATTTTGAGGCGTTTTTCTGTGTAGCTGAGGAAGCTTAAAGAACACATGGCAGGAAGGGCAGACCAGTTTGAAACGGGGCAAAAAAGAGCCCCCTTATGTCAAAACGAAGTCTGTTAGTAACTTGGCTCCCATACATGTTTGGGCACATAGTCTGCGAACACCACATCCATTACTGAACAAGCTCAAACTTAAATGTTCTTCCGCAGGGCTAATCAGAGCAGAGGGTTCTCTCATTTTGTTCAAATTATATATCATGCCCTTGGTGGGAGCGGGAGGGAAGCACCCTCCTATGGAGCAACTCAAAATTGTATGGAATTTACAGCTCTGACATGTATTGACAGCCACAGGGTGAGGAGGCTTTAATACAGATTCACTGAGGAGAGATTACTGATGGCTGATAGCCGTAATAGCAAAATGAAAACTCCATGTTCACAAGCGCTATATCTCAGACTTAAGGTTGCCAGCGATGGGTTGGGAAATACTTGGAGATTTCGAGGGTGGAGCGTGGGAAATGTGGGGTTGGGGAGAGGAGGGACCTCAGTAGGGTATAATGTCATAGCAGCCTCCAAAGCAGCCATTTTCTCCAGTGGAACTGATCTTGGTTATCTGGAGATCAATTGTAATAGCAGGAGATCTCCAGATGCCACCTGGAGATTGGCAGCCCCACTCAGACTACCATTTGCTGGCAGAAATAAAAGACAGGAGACCCCCATAGCTTTCATGCCCCACCCATGGGCTTCTCACAGGCAGCTGGTTGATCACTGAGGGAAATAAAAATGTTGGATTAGAGGAGCCTTCGGTCTAACTCAGCAAGGTGCCTGTGTTCTTATAAGGTGGCCACATCAGCGCAATTTATGTACTCGTGAACTTTAGGCTCAGATTATATGAAGGAACTGAGATGATGACAGCTATGTAGCAAACTCAGAACACAGCGTGGCTCTCAAGTGTCAGGACACAGTCCTTGGCACCAACACTGACCCGGCCTACCAGACCACCCCCTTCTAAATGTGCCTCATTTATTCAGAACATTTCCACTCCACTTTTTCCTCAGAGGCTGTGGTCACACAAACTAAATAATCCACTTTCACTACACTTTCAGTGCACTTTCCAAAAGGATTTTACTATGTGAACTGGCAGAATCCAGTTGGAAAGTGCATTGAAAGTGGATTATTCAGTGTGCGACCGCAGCCAGAGACACTCAAGATGGCTTACAGTAAATAGTACATCACAATTCATATTTAAAACAAGTTTCAGGTCTTGATTTGTACTTGCGAGGGGGGGGGTTGGGCAGGCTACTGGCTGCTGCCGGGCCCCAAAGTGTTCAGTAAAATGGACTGGGTGCGGCCTAGATAGGGAGACTTGGGACTTTGGTCTACTCTTAGCCTGGATCAGCAGTATTCTTTAGCCTTTTCCTCAGGGTCAGGCTGCTCTGAAATCCTGGGACGAAAAAGAAACCACACTCTAAAATACAGAAAGAGAAATGGATTGGGTGGCCATTTTCCCCCAGACCTGAACACTGGAGCTCAAAGTATTCTAAATTTGTATGGAGGCACAACAGAGATTGAACATGGTTATTAGGTAAATTTTTATCCCAGCATTCCTCCAAAAAAAATCAAGGCAGCATACATGGTTCTATGCCCTCCATTTTATCCTTACAACAGCCCTATGACGTAAGTTAGGTTGACAATGGGGATTTGTACCAGCTTTTCCATACCCTGACCCAGGGTCTCTGGGCACCATGGCACCCACAGGCACCTTTCCTGACATTCACCAAGTCTTTCTAGTAAGTGTGTGCTGATAATGTCCATTGGCTGGGCAGATTAAAATAATAATTCAGGGGCAGCTGCCACCAATGCTCCCTCTAAGCTGTGGAGTCTTGTGAGCAAAATTCTACTTTGTGAACTACTGGTATTGAAGTTGTGAGCAAGCGATTTGGCTACTGCATAGTTTGCCCTGGAGCCATCCATCCTGAGCTAAGACAAAAATGTGTGAGCCGGAGGCTAACAAACTGTGAGCTAGCTTACACTAACTCAGCTTAGAGGGAACACTGGCTGCCACCAGTGTTGGCTTTCTCTCTCTCTCTCTCACTCCTATTCCCCAGTGTATTTTTTTTAATTGCTGCCCTTTCCCCCTGCACCTCACCTTCCCATTTTTGTGGCTTCACCTCCTGCAGCAGCCATTTTGTGGCCAGCTGCACTTCCCGTGGCAGCCATTTTGTGGTTGCGCCCACCACACTGTGTCAAAATTCGAAAAGTGCCCATGCGCTCAAAAAGGTTGGGGGATCCCTCTTCTAACCAAACACTCTAACCACAGAACGTGTGAAGCGGCCTTAAACCGAGTCAGACGTTTGGTCCGTCTAGTTCTGTATTTCTCACTGGCAACCGCTCTCCAGCATCTTGGGGACAGAGAAAGTCTTTCCTAACACCTGCTACTATCTGACATCCTTTTCTCCTGGAGATTGAACCTTCTGTGTGCATGGCAGGATCCTGAAGCAAGAGTAACCTGGGCTTTGCTACTGGTCACCAGGTCACGGCTCGTTGGGGCTTGGCGGGGTGCCTTGTACGTCACTGACTGCTGTTAGGTTGCCTGGAGGATTGCTTGGTTGCAAGGTAAGGTGTGTCTCTGTACAAATAAAGACTAAGCGTGTATTCTACCCATGTATTTCATAAACAGAGTTGCCAACTCAAGATTGGGAAATTCCTGGAGATTTAGGGATGGAACCTGGGGAAGGTGGGGTTTGTGGAGGAGAGGGACCCCACCAGGGTATAATTCCCCAGAGGCCCCCCTCCGTAACTGCCATTTCCTCCAAAGGAACTGATCTCTGTCACCTGGACGCTGGCAACCCTATTCATAAGACAAGCTGTTTGACTAAGTGATGGGGGGCAGAGAAAAGTGACTGTCCTCTGAACATATACAGAGTGCTGTTCTTCTGGGATTGGGGCTGGGGGAGAAGAGGACTGAAAAGACAGAAAACGGGGATTCCTAGAAGGATCGAATCCGAGTGCCAGTTAGAAATTATCACAAGGGGTGGCTGCCATGGTCTCCCCAGCTCTCCCCTCCCAAAATTGGTGAGCAGCACAGTACCAACTTACCATGGCTCCCCCCTCCGGCTCTCTTTCGGGCCTCCTTCCCCCAAGCCCCATCGCAAAGATCTCCCTATCTCCCCGTTCTCCTGTCCCGAGTGGAAATTTCCATGGCAACAGCAGTTACAAGGGAATCTACGGAGGCTTCTGAGAGGCCTGAAAGCCAAAGGGGCAGCACAGAAAGAGCAGAGGAACTTAAGTGGCCACTATTTCCTCCTCCCAGGCTCCTGTGCTTTTAAGCAGCTGTAGAAAACCCACAGATAAAAACATTTCCTGTATGGAAATACAGTGAGCTTCTACCCCATGGTGTTAAGGCACAGGAATACTTTGAGAAATAAGTAGGGCAACCCAAATGTGAGAAAAATTGGGCTCTTGAATCGCCTGGAAAAGGGGTCTGTTTCCCCCTCAAATTAATTGTGCAGTCGTCATAAGATTTCTGCCAGCAGGGCCTAAACACACATGATCCCAAAGGGCAGAAAGATATGTCTGAGAGAGAGAGAGAGAGACAGACAGACTCTTGTGTGGGAAAGAAACTAACAAATCTATAAGCGTTTTCTGCATTTTTAGTTTGCAAAGTGGTCAACCAGAGTACAATTTCAACGATTCCTGACTAGCTCAGGTCCCAGACTCCCCATAAATCTATGTCTGTTTGTTCGGGATGGAGGAACGATTGAACAGCTGCTCTGAAGACACTGCCGGGAGATCCCCCAGTCCCCCCACAGAATGGACTTAATACATAAATCAGGGACGGACTGTAACTCATCCGTCGTTCTTCATCTCTGCGGCAGCCCAGTGCAGAAGGAAGGGCTCTCTTGCCCCCTCTTCTTCTGTAACTGTACATTTTGGCCTCACAGTTTTCGATAGGCGCCCACCGTGATATCAAAAAGCTTGGCATTGGTGATCCTTCCTTGCTTGTCCAAGAGGAAATAGAAGGGCCTCCCCTTGACCTTGAGGGGGATCATGGCCGGCACCTCGGAACGATGGGACATGCAGGAGATATGGCGCAGGGGTACGGTGAAGGAGGAGGTCAGCCCAAAGAGATAATAGGTGGTGAGAGACACTTCCTGCCCGCCACGGTGCAGTATGACTCGGCTTATGGAGCGACGAGAAAAAGCGAAGCCTCCCACCAAGATCAGAGAACCTGGGAAGGGGGGGGGGAACAAATAACATATTATTTATTTTAAATCTTTTTTCCTAGATCTCAATATATATACTTTATAAACTTTAAAAAGTAAGATTTTGAACAAACACCGCAACAATAGGCTCAATACATCACAAGACTGTAAGCTTCCTGTAATCAAAGATGTAATTCAACACTGTCTCTAATTCGATACCACTATACCAAATCTTGGGCTGCGGTGGCTAAGAGGTGAAGGCGCTGAGCTGCAGACCGGAAAGTCGGTAGTTCGGCAGTTTGAGACCCGAGTGCCGCATGACGGCATGAGCTCCCGTCTATGGCCCCAGCTCCTGCCAACCAAGCAGTTCGAAAGTAAGAAATTGCAAGTAGATAAATAGGTACCGCTTTGGTGGGAAGGTCACAGCATTCTGTGCGCCTCGACATTTAGTCATGCCGGCCACATGACCACGGAGAAGTCTTCAGACAGTGCTGGCTCTTCGGCTTGGAAATGGAGACGAGCACCACCCCCTAGAGTCGGATTCGACTGGCTTTTGAGCAAGGGAAACCTTTACCTTTATACCAAATCTCTAGCCCTGGGCTCCGCAGTGTGGTGCTCGTGGACACCATGGTGTCCAGCAATACATCTCCTGACCATAGTTGGGCCTTTTGCCCAGTAAGGCTTCTGATAGGCCATTGCAGTTTTGATTGGCTGTGCAGATTTTCTAAAATGTTGCTTTGGCAACAGCTGCTACCACAGCACAAAGGTCTTCACTGTGTGATTGAAGGTAAGCCGTGGCAGCCATTCTGTGGCTGACTCCACCTCCTGTGGCTCAGAAAGGTTGGGGAGGGACCCCTGCTCTAACCCTTAATCAGCAATCTTAACTAAAACCAAAACTTAACCCTCTTCAGACATAACATAGCTGTCTTTTACACAAATCCCAATATTTTAAGCATTTTTATGCCGCCTTTCAACCCAAGTATGGTCCTCTAAGGCAGTGAACGTCAAACGAAACATTTCAGCATTAAAGACGTTTAAAATAAAGCATGTGTGCAATAACTGCAACATTCAGCCAAGTAGCCAACTAATTTATTACAAGAATTTTGGCTGACCCTAAGGGCGCCCTGATTGATCAGGCAGATTTCCACCCCCTACAAGTAGGTACAAAAACTGCAAATGGCAAGGATGATCTCAGAAGAGGCATTCCCTTGTGGGCGAGAGAAGCGGGAACACCTCTTTTTAAGAGGACGTCTGCTACTACACAGACCTGCACACGGCACCGAGAAACAAAGTGGTGTTTTTTTGGGGGTCATCTGAACGTCTGGTTCTGATGCAATATTTATTTACTTCATTTCCAGTCTGCCTTTCTCACTGAAACTCAAGGTGGGTCACACACTGTAAACAAGGCAGTCCAATACCGTGAGACCTCTACCAAGCAACGCAATAGGGCTAGTATGCCTATTTATACAGAATGGATTCATTGGTTAAAACTTGTAGGGTTAAAGTTAACTAAAATTTCTTTAATTTGGTGGCAGCCCAAATTATCATGATCTTAAATGGGGGGGGGCGGGGACTCTCAACAAATGTCAATGGGGAGGGTTAAAAGTTCTAAAAGATTGACACAGTTCATAAGAAGTACAAAGATGATAAGTTTGGATGCTAAAAAAAAAAGCTAGTTAGAGGATCTCCTCTCTTGGGTTTTTAGTCAGTAGTGGGTTCTTTACTTTCTCCCTTATATGTAGTTTCCCCCTCCCCCTTTTCTGTTGTAGTTTTTTGTAGTGTTAAAAAAATCAATTAAAAAATCCCCTCTGGGGGCTCAAAAAAAATATGTCAGGAGCATTAATGTGCGGGTTTTTGTAATTTTATTTCTTGTATGTTTACATGATTATGGAATTCGCTAAGTCTAGGCTGGGGACGGTCACTGAGTTTACATGGCTTTTTTAGGGGTGAGATGGGTTCCGTGGATGAGGACAGATCTATTAATAGGTATTTGCCTCCATCAGCAACCTCAGCCTACTCGCTGAATACTAGTTGCTAAGGGGAAAAGAACAGGAGAGCGCCGTCACCTTCTTACTCAGAGTCTGAACATCCAGAAAGACCAGTTTGGGCTGACCACTGCTGGAAACAGAATACTGAGCCTAGAGGACCATTTTATCTGAAACAGCAAAATAGTGTTTTCTCGCTGCGCCCTCAAGAGTGCCTACTGCAAGTGGCAGAATTGCACGTTCAGAGGCAGTCAACTTCTGAATCTCTGAGCCAGTAAGCAACATCAGGGGAAGTTCGCCTCGGCTTCTATGCCCTGTTGTTGTTCCTCCAGAGGAACTGGTTGGCCTCTGCGGGAGACAGGATGCTGGACTAGATGGACCACTGCTTTTGATCCAGCAAGGCTCTTCTTAGGAGTTAAGATTATCATCTAAATTGCAAACTCCCTGGGACAGGGCAGGGGTCTACTCTGCTTATACCTCTCTGGGTATTGAGGAGGGTGGGCTACTATGACTCCTACTAAAGCGCAACCAAAAGGAAGAACAAAGGAGAAGCACCTTTCCTTACCCACGGTCAGGCAAGAGGCGGTGAAACCATAGCGCCACTTGTTAGAGCCGAGGTTGAGTGTGGCTCCGCCCGGCAGGGTCGGCAAAGGCTGCTCCCCCTGCTGCGAATCCGAATCCGGCCGCTTGGAGCCGGTGACGCGCAGGGAATGGAAAGCGAAGTGTGCCAAATAGGTCCAGAACAGGACCTGGGCGGCACAAAAAAGGCCGAGAAGGCGGAAAAAGCGGACGCGGTCATGCTGGAAGAGCAGGACGTCCTGGGGCACACGGGCATCCAGCGGGAACGAGCTTTGCACCCCGCGGGCTGCGCCCCATCGCCACGGGGTCTTCTCCGCGCGGCTTCTGTTCCCTGCGCCCAGGCAGCTCCAAGAGCGCACAAGGCAGGGCGCTCCCCGCGAGCACCAGCTCCAAAGGAGCCCCAACCTCCGGGACCTCCCGCTCACCGAGCCCCAAATCCGCACCCCACTTCCCCACGTGCAACGCGACATTCTGGATTCACCCTTGCCGGGGGGGGGGCGGTCAACTGCGACGGTCCAAAGGCTCTTGGGAGTTGTAGTCTGGTTATGGACAAACCACCACCTCTTCTGGAACACGTGACTCCAACCCTTTTTGGCATCATCTTCTCGGCTTTGGCTTCCGGAAGACTGTGGTTGGCTGGTTGCGAGATCAAGTTATGCTGCAGTCTGTGCTGGCCTCTGTAGGCTCAGCTGTCGGTCTGGATGGGAGGCAATACTTCCGTCTGCGCCCTCTGCGAATGTTATAGTTCCGCACAGCGTAATGCGGAACGACTTTGAATTTGTGGAGACAGCGGAATTACAGCTCACGACCGCCTGTCAGGTAAGATCACCTTCAGAAGGCCTTCTTATGCCTGCCAGCCTCCAGGATCCCCCGGAATTACAGCTCATCTGCAGACTACAGAGATCAGTTCCGCTGGAGAAAACGGATGCTTTGGAGGGTGGACTCTACGGCATTGTACCCTACTGAAGTCCCTGTCCTCCCCAAATCTCCAAGTTTCCCAACATGGATCTGGCAAAAAAAAACACACCCCAAAATCTCCTGCCGGTGGCTGGGGCGACCTGGCAACCCTACTGCATCTTCAGAAGTTAGGCAGGTAGTCTGCACAGACAGTGGTGGCACCCCCCCCCCGCGGTGTCGACGTCATTATTTAAGCTCCAAGAGGTGTCCCCTTCTGTTTGGGTATGCTTTTAGATCAGGATAGGTAGCCATGTTAGGCTGCATGTAGCAGAAGAGCAAGAGGCCAGCAGCATCTTAAAGGCTAACAAAATATGTGGCAGGGGATGAGCTTTCCTTGGGTCACTGCTCACTTCTTCAGATGTTCTTCAGAAGTGAGCCGTGGCTCAGGAAAGCTCATCCCCTGCCACGTATCTTGTTCGTCTTTAAGGTGCTGCTGGACTCTTGCAATCTTTTCTACTGAAAGTTTTTAATAACTGAAAGGTTTTTTTATTTATTTGATAGTAATGTATTAATCTTGCTTTAAATCACCATGGTCTTTCTTTTTAGCAGAAAGGCGTGACCGATGCTTACATACAATTAAGATTTTTACCTAAATAGTATGTTAGATACTGTGTCAGTCCTGTGCACCTTTACTTGGGGAAAAAAACACCCCACTGGACTTAAAAGGATTTTACATGTATAAACTTAGAATGGTCTGTAAGGACCTGCCTGGGACAACACAGGCTAGCTCAGTGTCATCAGACCTTGGAAGCTAGAATTTGGATGAGAGACCACCAAAGAAGTCTGGGGTTGCTAGGCAGAGGAAGGCAAGCCATTGCCAGCTGTGATTTGACGGCACTTTTCACCACTGTAAGAACCAAAATCCTGTCCATTGTAATTTAGTCTGCTTATGTAATTGCATTTATTTGGTAAGAAAAATCCTCCTATTTCTACACACACACACAGGAGAATGAATTTACATACATAAGATTTACATACATCTACAACAGATTCCTCTGCAAGAACAGATTCCTCTGCAAGAACAGATTCCTCTGCATATACAACAGATTTCTCTGTGCATGGTGACCTTCCTCAGTTTTGTACACCCCCTTCCCAAAGGCCATAGCTCAATAATAAAGCACATATATCACATGCAGGTCCCGAGTTCTCTCTCTAGCACTGCCAATTTAAGAACCTCAGCAGCTGCTGGGAAAGACATTTTGAGACCTAATGAGATGTAGTGTGAATACAGCATCAGGGAGATAAACATAAAAAGCAAGGCTTCCTTTAAGTGGAAGGTTCACCTGAATGAGGTGAATTTAAAAAAGCACAGGTTCTAGAAAACCAAATATAAGGGAACAGTAATGCAAACATTGACAAACAACAACCATTTCTTCAAATACATCAGGAAACCCGTTGGGCCACTGGACAAAAAAGGAGTGAATAGATTGCTTAAGGCACATGGGGAGATGGTAGAGAAACTGATTTTTACATCTCTTCATTCTGGAAAACTCATCTGCTCCAGGCTGTGTTCAGTCTGGTTTCAGATCGGGCTATGGGATGAAGAGGGTTTTGTTGACCTTAGTTGGTGACCTCCATCTAAATGTAGACAAAGTTCAGGTCTCCCTGTTGCTCTTAGTGGATTTATCTGCTGCCTTTGACACGGGACCATGCCATCTTTTTTTTTTTTAAACCCCCGAAAGGGTAATTTTCTTATTTTTTCATAAGACTACATAACTACAACAGAAAATAAAGGGAGGGACTACAACTAGGGATAAAGAAAAGATACCCACACTAACTAAAAACCCAAGAGTAGGGAACCATATCCGTGTTAAAGTACATGTTAGTAAATACATGTTAGTATAACATTATACTTGTGAGGTTTTTTTTAACTACTGCTTCAATATTAGTAGGTTTAGTATTTTGAGAACACTTCTTGAGCATCTTCTTATCTTCATAGGGCCATTTTCAGAGTACTTCTGCCCTTACTTCTGTTTTCTCTCTAAAATCATACACAGTTTTACTTGCTCCCGCTCCCGCTTCACCAACAGAGTCCTCATCCGTTCCAGAGGTAACAGAGTCACTCGATTTTGTTTCTTCATCCTTTAGTTCTTCTGATCCCAGCTGCTGTCTCAGAAATTCCTTCGTTTTAAAGATGGAGTCGATCTTCTCTCTTCTGTCATTAATTTTAAAGATGACATCTTCAGGAATCCCCCACCGATATTGTATTCCATTTGTTTGAAAAAATGAGATTAATTCCTTGTAGCTCTTCCTCTTTTGCCGAATTTCAAATGGAATGTCTTTTAGAGTCTTAATAATTGTATCCCCAAATTTCAGTGGATTTGCCGAAGTTGGCTTCAATATGACCTCTGGTCTGTCTTCTTGCAAACTTGACCACAATCTCCCCAGGTAGGCTATTTTTTAAAATATAATTAGAGTATGCCCGATAGGCAGACTCTATATCTTTTACTATTTCTTCAGCTGATAAGCCTGTTGCTGGGGCGATAATCTCTCCCAAAGTCTTCTTTAGATCTTCTTTCTCCTTTTCAGGCACTCCCTGGAATCTGAGAATCAATTTGGCTTTCTCCATTTGCAGCTGTAAAAGACGATTTTCCTGCATTTTTTGTTTTACTTCCACATCTTTCACTCTTTTCTTCATCTTTTTGCTCTCAGTGTCCATCTCCACCAGTTTCTCAGTTGCATGCTCCACTTTCTTTTCTGTCTCTGCCAGCTGGCGTTGCTGCGAGGTGAAGTTTTGATTTAACGTGGCCAGTTGCTGGTTAATACCACCAAGCTGCTCCAGTACCGGTTTTAGCATATCCGCCAACGTCTTCATGACGTCTGCTCCCTCTTCCGGTCTTGGACTCTGGCTGCCTTTCGGTTTTATCTTCACTCGTGAAGTCGCCATGTTCTCTCTTTGTTTACAATTTAAAACCTCTATGCCAGAGCTCTAAGGACTCATCTTTCCGCTAAAGCTGCTCCAGTAAGTCTCTCAAAATGTAACACTGTTTCTCTCCCCTTTCCCCCTTCACTTCGTTGATCTATTCCCGTGCTCTGGAGGCGTCCCTCCTTGTGCTCCGCTTTCCTACCGGGGTGGGTGGGTTCGTTTTTAAAAAACAGTCCATTTAATTCACACTCACGTTCATTGTTGGTCATATCTGACCTCGCTCTCTTTCCTTGCTATTCCGCTTGATTCCCTGCGCTTGTCCCGGTTAGATTGGCTTGTACCCGGAGATCACCCATCGACTGGACCGTCAGGGCGGAGGGAAGCCTCTATTCTTCGGCATCAAGCCGTCGAGGTTAACCCTTGAGAGCCCATCGCAAGGACTCCACGGGGGCACCACTTGAGGTGGCACCCCTCCTAGCCGAAGGTGTGCTAGTCACCTCCTCAAGCTCCGAGGAGAGCAACCGCCATCGCCGATCCACCCACCGGCGACCATGCCATCTTATTGAGGCGCATGGAGACAGAAGGCGGCATTAGCTGTGGTGTGTTGGACTAGTTCAAATCATTCCTCACAAAACAGACCCAAAGAATTGCGACTGGAGACCAGTTATCGTGTGTGGGATCTATTCTGTGGGGCCCCACAAGACACAATCCTATCCCCTGTGCTCTTCAATCTTTAATGTAAAGCCCTTAGGCCAAATCATTCAAAGTTTTGGGGTTGGCTGTCATCAATATGCAGACAATACACAGCTATATGTATCTTTATCCAAATCTGGTGATGTACTGGAGGTCCTAAACAGCTGCCTGGCTGCTGTTGTTAAATGGCTAAGAGTCAACAAATTGAAACCAAACTCTGGAAAGAGAGAAGGAATGCTGGATGGGAAGGTGGAGGTTTTGAAGGGCATTATGCTCCCAGCCTTCAGTGGGTTCGGTAGACACTTGCAGACTCAGCTAAGAGCCTTTGGTTATACTGGACCCAACATTATTGCTGGAGCAGTTGCAAAAGACTTCCTTCCAACTCAGCCAAGGTCCAAAAATGGCCCCTTAATTTGAGGTTGATCTTGATATATTCCATGGTGACAGAGACTAGACTACTGTAATGCACGAGCTCCAAAAATGGCCCCTTAATTTGAGAAGGTTGATCTTGATATATTCCAGGGTGACAGAGACTAGACTACTGTAATGCACTGTGCATTGGTCACCCCTCCCAATCAGTTTGGAAACACCAGTTGATGCAGAATGCCACAGCTCAGCTATTATTGGGAGCTAGATGGAGCATGGCTATTACTTCCATTCCACAGTCACTCCACTGGCTGCCCATCAGTTACTGGGCTCAGTTTTAAAGTGTTGGCTATCACATATCCTTCATGGCCTTGGACCCTCATGCCTGCGAGACTTCTCCCCCTGTGCTCCACCAGGACAGCCTCACTCATCTGAGTAGGGTCTTCTGCAGGTGCCAACCTGCAAACGGGCAAAATGAACAACTAGCTCTACATGCATTCTCCATTGCAGCCCCTACCTTGTGGAACAGCCTGCCTGAGAAGGTCAGGAAGACTCCCACACTCCTGGCTTTCCACAAACTATGCAAAATGGAATTATTCAGGAGGGCTTCCCTACGCAGGAAACAGGGCAGCATTGCACAAAAGGCTTCAGTTACTTGGATAAATTATTGGGGACTGTGGTCTATACTACTGTGTGTAGCTTGCTGTGGGTTGGATCCTATTGTGTAATTTTGCATCATTTAATGTGTCATTTTTACACTTGTGCTTTGCTTCAGTGCTGGTTTTTTTTTACAGTTCTGCTTGGTTATAAACTGCTGGCGAGGTGGGATAGAAATCAAAAATAATAAATAACATAAATCCTATTTGTCTATTGAATGTCTCATCTTGTTGATGGCTATCAACTCTGTGTCCATCTTCCTTGAGTCCCTGTGAGAAAGGCAAACTATAAATGACGTAAATAATTAAAACGTGGGGCAGATACCCACGCTGGAGCTGTTTTCAAGAACGGTGTCTGAAGAACTGGGTCTAATAGAGGTGACAAATTCTGGGATGAATAGGACAGATTACAAACCTTTGGGAGTATTCTATCCAGAGTTGGAGACTTATTAGTTTTTAAGGAACTCAAATGTAAAACTCTTGCTTTTAACCATCCATTATGTAAATCTGAAATTTTGTGTACTGTTCTGGTTGCCAGGCTATATAAATTCTACATAGATGGAAGCAAATATAAACATGGTTACAAAGTTTTTAGCTGTGCTTATTGACTGACATTCAGCAGTCCCCAGCATTATTGAGTCGTACACTAAGATGAGAAGCTGAACTGATTCTGAGCATCTTTTTTTATGATGCTCCTTACCTGTAACCTGGGTAACTTTGGAAAGTTATTTTAATGGCATCAAATAACTGGTTCTTCTGCAGTCCAACACATCATGTTCTTGCAAGTTAGTGCGTGTTAAAATTGTAAATCATTACGTTTTAATAAAAAGAAAATAGAGGCAAGATTCTCTAGTGATACTTTTACTTGCGTGCAATACCCAAAATGAACTGCAAATGTTGGCAGGAGACTAATGATGTGATACAGGTGAGCGAACAAGAAGCCTAGGGTTTCTTAAGTACACCCCTGGTATTTGAATTGGACCTGTTAATTTGTACTAGAGTTGACAGCAACTGGAGCTTCTGGTTGGAACTGACAGCTCCGTAGGGCCCACAATCTACAGCCGCAGGGGAAGTGGGCAGGTTCCTGTTCCTGGTTTAGAACATTAGAAGATAATGCACAGTTTTTAATAATAATTTTTACTAAACACAATTTGGTTGAAAGAACTACAGGCAGAGGAGGAACACAGAAGCAACACCTTGCCGAACATGCCAACCCCATTGCTTCCTATCTCTTTTAAGTGGTGAGCACCATTTTAGGAGCACTGCTTTGTAGGGACTTGCCTTTGGGGGCCTGAGCTCCGTCTGGTTCCTTAACTCCGTGGAAAGAAAACCCAGAGGTCCATGGAAGCAGCAGCAGGCCAGCACGAGGGCCCTGCCTCTTCCCAACAAACAAAAGATTCTAGCCTCAGAGGGCTGGGAATGCTCTAAAACCTTCAAGCCACGAACTGTTGACTGCTCCTTACCCTAGGGGCAGATATATAAAACATTACTCCTGAGACAATGGCTGCAGAAAAAGGAGCGGAGAGGAGTACACTAAAAATATACCAGGTATCCAAATTCAAAAAGGGAAAAGAAACACAGATGGGGACTTCTCCACTGTCCAAATGGTGCGCAAAGAGGCAGCTCGGCCCTCTAAGAAGCCAGTCTACAAAGCAACTCTTCCTGTTGTCTTCTGTCACTATGGGTACCAGAGATGCTGCCACCATGAGTGCTCATCACAGCCTGTCTCTCCGACCCTAATGGAGAATGGCCTCAGCCTTCACAGTTGCAAAAGGGAGGGAAGTCTCTTAATTTACACAGTAAACTTTTCATTTATTTACAAAAATGTCTCTCTGAAGGATAAAATGCTGTTTCCTTAAGTTTTGGTCAAGGTGACAAGAGGCCAGTGCTCAGTTGAGGAAAGCCACTTCTGGGATCTTCCCCTCAGCCTGTCAAAGAGAACAAAAACAAATATCAAGGCTTTCATCTTCACTGCATGCAAAGCTCTCAACAGAACCCAGGAGTCTCCCACCATCTTCTAACTATCCCTGAACTTGGGCAGAACTGCAAGCTCACAAGCCACACCCAGTGCCCTCTGCTTAGAGGAGAAGTTCATAGTAGAATTCTAACACCACCAGTGATGGGAAAAAAGATTACAGGTCAAGGTGCTCCCACCTTTCATCTCATCCCAAGGTCTGCTCTATATCAGCCTTCCACTGGTTAACCAACTGTGGTGTATAGGAAGCATAAAAGGGAGGGGCTGTGGCTCAGTGGAAGAACCTCTGCTTTGTCATGCAGAAGGCCCCAGGTTCAATCCCTGGCAACTCCAGCTAAAAGGGCCAGGCAGTAGGTGATGCGAAACACCTCTGTCTGAGACTCTAGAGGGCTGCCGTCAGTCTTGAGTAGTCAATACTACTTGATGGATCAATGGCCTGATTTGGTATAAGGCAGCTTCATATATGTTCAAGCAGAGAACTAACTGGTGACACGGTAACAGTGTGCCAGCAGGTCCCAGAGATTTGAGCTGCTGGGGGAAGACTAAGCATCCTAAGGTCACCCTTGAACTCCCTGTGAGGGCAAGAAGTCCTATGATCCCAAGCATGGTCCACATGACCATAAGAATGGACAGTCAAGTGAGGTGCTGTGGTCTGTACATCAGGCTAAGACTAGGGAGACCCAGGTTCAAGTCCCTGCTCAGGCTCGATGCTCTCTAGATGACCATGGCCAGTCTCTCTCAGTCTAACCAACTGCAGAGTTCTCATGAAGATAAAAACTGAGAATCTCTCCTTTATATATAATTGAATAGTGGGTGCCAAAGTTCTAATTCTAAAATGCACTCCCTTAGTGTATGGCTGATGGCACTGCTCCTCAGCATATATCGCCACCAATCAGAAGGCAAAGCCCGGGTCCCGCCCACACCACAACTGCTGCAACAACCTGGTCTTTTGCATATGGAAGCTGATTGGACTTCAGTCCATTCCACACCTCAAACTCCCCCCCCCCGCAAGGCAGTTGGAATTTTCAGTTGCATAACATACCTCATAGGGGAGAGGAGAATGGGTAACAATGGTTACCACTCTCCAGGTGAGGGCTACAGATAACTCAAACATACAAATGCTCTTCAGGTAGCAGAGATCAGTCCCTCTGGAGAAAACAGTGGACTCTGTCATTAAACCCTGCTGAGGTCGCCACAGGAAACTGACACTGTTTGCCCAAAGCCAGAGCACTCTCCCAGAGCCTTTCTAGATCCCGTTGTATTTATTTCCACAACGGGCATTAATTCTAGTATATATATAACCCCCTAAGTTCTCTGGAAACAGGGCAGCATAAAAAGGGACAAAAAGCCTAGAAACCTGGGATCCAGAACCTGAAAAGGTTAGTCAAATAGAAAAGAGGACCAACAATAAAAAGGGGACAGATAAATACAAAAAGCCATTCAGAGATGTCGTCCCCCCCCCCCAACCCAAGAACATCATGCTTTGGCCATCTCACCCAAAATGTCCATTCTTTGAGGCAGGGTTTGGTCTCCACCTCTTAAGAAGGGCTGTGACTCCCAGAAGTTTTATTTTTAAAATGCTTGGTTTATTTATTCATTTATTTATTTGATTTATATCCTGCCTTCCCCGTGAAGGCAGGCTCAGGGCGGCTTACAGTCATATATATAAAAAATACATTATACAAATATTAAAACAGGCCCTGCAGAACTGCAGAATGTCCCGGAGGGCCCTGATGGCCTCCGGGAGCTCATTCCACCAGTGTGGGGCTGCCACAGAAAAGGCCTTGTCACCGCTAGCCTGGCTTCTTTAGGGCCCAGAAGGGCCAGGCTGTCCCTCAGGTAAGCAGGTCCCTGACCATATAGGGCTTTAAAGATCAAAACCAGCACCTTGAACCGAATCCGGTATGCTATTGGCAGCCAGTAAGGCTCGTACAGCATTTACAGCTTTCTGTCGGTGGTAGCACTGAGACTACCTAGTGCACACCTCAGACTCTTGTGTCCTGCTCCATCGAAGTCAAACACTTGAGTGAGGAAACTGGCCTACAAACGGGGAAACTGTGGCCCACAGTCAGCTGGAGAGGGACTGGTGGTGGCAGATCTAGGCAACGGCACTCACCTTGAGCTGGGTGAACACGCGGGCGGCATGAGCATAGTCCCAATCATTGTCTGAGAGGCACCTGCGAATGGAGAGGGGGAGAGGTCAGCAGGGCGGTGAGGAGGAGTCCAGCGGGGAGGGCACCCGAGCCCCATTCTGCAGCATTCCACACACACCCCACCCCATTCCCAGCAAGACTTACTTCTGAGACCACTCCAGGTTCATGCCAGACTGCAGCGAGAAATTCTGCAACATTTCCTGCTGCTCTGCGGAGAGTGTGGGCACGGGACTAGAAGAGGGGGTGGGTGCTGGCATGACGAAAGCCTTGCGGATTTCCTCATTGGTGGCCTTGCGGATAAACAGCTGGTCATTAACAATGCACAGCCTGCACACAAGAGAAGACTCGGGATTACTACTGAGAAGAGTGGAAGTCGATGGCACTGCTTGGTTGGCTGGCTGATAGGGGGGGAAGACATCAAGACCGGGTGGCCAGAATTCCACCCACCTGCTCTCTACACACTCTCAGTCGGAGCCTGTATATGATATCGGCGCTGAGAGGCTGGCAAACAAGGGTAAGACCTAGATGGGAAGCTGTGTTTGCCTGTCTGTAGCAGTACAAAAGAACAAGAGTCCAGTAGCGCCTTAAAAGACTAACAAAATTTGTGGCAGGGTGGGAGTTTCTGTGCGTGAGCAGTGGCTCACGAACGCTCCTACCCTGCCACAGATTTTGTTAGTCTTCTGAGGCGCTACTGGACTCTTGCTCTTATCCCCTTTTCTGTTCACGGACACAACATCCTGAATAACCCTAACCCGCAGAATACGTCTGAAGAGTTTTCTTCTAAAGGATTTTATTTTAATCTTTTCTACTGGACTCTTGCTCTTTTCCTAAGGGGAAGCTCTGTCAGCTCTCCTCGCCTCCTGAAGCTGCTTCCTCAAGCACTGCAGAATGCCCTGGTGGGAAGAGAAGCTTCGCATCTGCCTTTCCAGAGAGAGAGGGCCGTTGGGAAGAGTGGCTTTAAAAAAAAAAAAAAGGCTATAAGCGCTAAAAAAAATGCATTCAGCCCACGTTCTGAAGAGAGGGCTTAAAACCCTAGGGGACCACCCGTATGGTGCTCCTTGCCCAAAATGTGATTGGAAGGGTACTAGGAAAGAAAGGGGCAGTCCAGAGTCCTGGCTTCAGGACTGAATAGGAGGCTTTGTGCATCTCAGGAGCGGGTTGGCTTCACAGGTCTGTTGTACGATCCACTGACTCTCAACCCGTCATCTCTGTCGCCTATCCGTGCGTTGAAAATTTACGAAACAGAAGTGCACACCCAGGATCTCTTAAGGAGTTAGGTTTTATCAGTAAGTGATCTGGAGTCTGCCCTCTTGCTTAAGAACTTAGGACGTGCCTTGTGGAACCAAGCCGAGTTCACCTAACCCAACATTATTTGCCTCAGTCCCGGCAACCTGCAGGCACCAGCTGGCTCAGCAGAAACAGGCTAAGGGACCAAGATCTCCTCCCTGCCCACAAAAAAACTGTATACACAAATTTTTCAGGAGAGTCAAATGAGTTCCTTTTGCAGAAACTAAAGGGGTGGGCTGAAGAGGATGGTTTAGGCACAGAGCAGGGACTCCCAACCTTTTTTGAGCCTGTGGGGACCTTTAGGATTCTGACACAAGGGCGGAGAGTGCAACTATAAAATGGCTGCAGCAGGAGGTGGAGCCAACCACAAAATGGCCACCACAGGAAGTGAGGCCACATACAAAGGAAGCCCAGGTGCGGGGCAGAAGAGAGATAATTTAAAAAATACATTGGGAAAGAGGGCCAGGAGAAAATAAAACAAACTGTGGTGGCAGCTGCCGCTGAAGCAATGTTATTTTAATCAATGTAGCCTATCAGATCATCCGTGGCCAATCAGAAGCCCTCCTGGGCAAGAGCACCACCTGGCCCCACCGACTTTCTAAAAACACTTTCATGGGCACCAAGAAAGGTGTTGGCAGGTACCACAGTGCCCACAGATACCTTGGTGGGGGACTCTTCTCATATAACCACCTGGACTTGAGGAAGTCAGACTTGCCCAACTCCTGACAGGCAGAACAGTCCTCTTTCCACCACTCTCCAAATGCTCTACAACCTGACCTCTTTCTTGTTAGCAGCCACATTCTGATCTGCCCATGCCCCGAAGGCTCATTTCTTTACCCGTTGTTGCTGGCAGGCACAGCAATGAACACGCGTGTGAATGCCCGCATCGACTCCCGATTCTTGCCATCCACTGTAGGGGGGGAAAAAACAACAGCAAACAGAACAGAGGTGAAGGAGGGGGTCTAGCAGAGCACGCATGCGCTGGCCACGCTGCAAGATATGGGAGCGCAGGGGGCTCTGAGGGCACACTCACCTTCCTTAAAGACCCCGCTGAGCGTGAAACACAGTAGTGTGCTCTGCAAAGAGAAGGAACAGTGTCAAAGATGACAGCTCATGAAAGCAACCCTGTAGGAGTTATACTAGGGTTGTCAGGCCATCATCTGGTACCCCTGGGGGGCTTGGAGGTAGGGCAAGGAGTGGAAGTGACACCGATGCACTGCCTGACATCATTTCCACCTTCCACATTTTCCTGGCAGGCTTGGAGTGGGAGGGATGGCTGGATTACCGGAAGGCTGCCTGCCCAAAGCAGGCAAATGGTTAGCCTAGGTTACGCAGTGATACATTCAATAAGCCAATACTAGCTAAGTGTATTTGTGTGTAATATGCCCTTTTTGGTAGTTGTTTGACAGCTTTTCTTTAACTGATCAAGTTACTATAAATCAGACACTAAAACACACACTATTCTAGTAAAGTTTTCTAGCTGCGGAATTCTGAGAATGTGAGTGCACATTTTTGATGCACTGCAGAACTGGAAGTTTATCTGGCCTCCTCATCACCTACCAGTGATACTAAATTCTTCCCCCCGCACCTGACACATGTATTCTCTTCCCCCCACCTTACATCTACAGTCCTTGCTGGACAGTCCCCACTCAGCCAACCCCTTCTCACCGTTTGCACACAGACGTCCACCACGAAGGAGTTGATGTCATGTTGAGTCTTGGGCAGCTCGTTGAGGAAGGCCACAACATTCAGCCGCGTGTGCTTCAGAAGCCTGAAACGCATGGCTGGGGGGGGGGAGAGGGGGAGAGTGAGAAGGGATTGATCATTCCTAACTACGTCCTAAGATCCCATAATCGTAGTTCTACATCAAGGCTTGGCAACTGCCCTACTAGATGTCTTATTTACTGTGTATATGTTGTTTTAAGCCATTCCTCATTCGGTTAAGTGTTTTTCTTTTTTTAATCTGTGGCCCTGGAAACACTACACACAGTGCCCCTTGTTTGGCCTTAACAGCAGGGAAGGTTCATGAAACCAGACAAAGCTTATAGGGAATGCTGTTGTGGAAGCGATGAGGCACAGCGACAGTCATCGTGAACCTTATTAAAGAAACATGACATGTAAGAACATCCCTACTGGTCCAGGAAACAAGGGACACTCTGCTATACCAGCAACCCTTATAATCAGCATTAATTACAACATGGAAGCTGTTGTGGCAGGTATGATAAACCCTCTAGGGCACAAGTTTCAAGCATTCTAAGGATTTATATGTTGTTTTAAGCCATTCCTCATTCGGTTAAGTGTTTTTCTTTTTTTAATCTGTGGCCCTGGAAACACGACACACAGTGCCCCTTGTTTGGCCTTAACAGCAGGGAAGGTTCATGAAATGGAGGTACAGAAATCAGACAAAGCTTATAGGGAATGTTGTTGTGGAAGCGATGAGGCACAGCAACAGTCATCGTGAACCTTATTAAAGAAACATGACATGTAAGAACATCCCTACTGGTCCAGGAAACAAGGGACACTCTGCTATACCAGCAACCCTTATAATCAGCATTAATTACAACATGGAAGCTGTTGTGGCAGGTATGATAAACCCTCTAGGGCACAAGTTTCAAGCATTCTAAGGATGTAAGTAGTCCTGGTGAATCTTACTGCTGGATGAGTAACAACAACAACAAAAAGGCAGTGCATGTTGATCTGGGTTTTTTAATAATATTTTGCCATATTCATATCATAGTGGATCTTCACGTTTGAAGACCAAATATTTTGTAGTCTCTTGGTCTAAAGCCAGAAACCAGAAGGTACAACTGGTCACTTGCCAGTCAAAAAAAAAAGGGATCCAGGACACTGAACTTAAGGAATGTCAAGTACACAAGCTCTATTATTTAATCAAAGTTTTAAATTACACGAGGACAGTATTTGCTAAATTCTAACCCTATTCTAGCACAAGCCATTGTTATGAAGAAACCAAAAGCTTTCCCTCAGTCATGCACCAACCAAAGGTACCTTTGGAAGAAAGGAAACATAAAAAAGAATTATTCCCCTAGATTAGCCTTTCCACAGAGTTGCAGATTAATATGTTAATATGTACAGATGCTGGTCGACAAAAAAACCCAAATCCATTGTTTAAGAAATACCCTTATCTGTTATTGCACCGTTTGTAAATAAAAGGATCACAATCATGAAGTCAGTAAATTAGGCAAGCTGATCTAAGGCCAAACAGAGTCCAGACATGATGACTGGTCAGTGTGACCAATCTCTACAGACTAACTTCCCCTCAATAGTTTGCATTCAAATGCTTACCTAATGGCCTCAATAAACCTGGAGCTACTTTTAATTCTTGTGTGAATACCTTTGTTCTCCCTTCATGAACTATTAAATCTGCAGACCTTAGTCCAGGCAATGCTCTCCAGTGAGATTATACCGGGTGTTGCGACTTTCAGGAGAATGCATGACCAAGCGATGGAAGTCACCAGCTGATTTAGTGCTCACATCTCCTTACCTCTTTCTCCTATACCAACATCCCAAAGAGGCCCGGGTACTGTCCATCACTGCCAGGGTGTGTCCAGTACCCCCCCCCCCAACTGAGAAGGGTTCTTACGCGTAAGCCTCAGACAATCCAAGTGATCACAGGCATGGATGTACAGGGAGGCAGAGCTCACTGTGTTGATGAAGAAGCCCCACCCCCGGAAGTAATATACAGCAGCATCGACTAACTGGTACCGAGGACAACTCAGTTAGTGCTCCTGTCGTTCCAAGTCCAGCTACCAGGTCCAAAAAAAAAAATCTGATCCCTGCAGACATCTCCTTTGCAAAGGCCAATGCAAACCAAAATGGGTTGTTCAAATGGACAGCACATCAACAAGGTGTTCCTGTCAAAGCAGCATGGGGTTGGGCGGAATTATAAAGCTAAGGACGATCAGCAGGCAGGAACTAGAGGGAACTCTGTCCTTGTTCCCTCTGTTTTCAAAACTGTTTCAACCACAAAAGGTCAATTCTTTGTTTCTTTCTATCCCTTTCTGAGATAGATCAAGATGGGTAGCCGTATGTAGCAGCAGGAAAAAAGCAAGAGTCCAGCAGCACCTTAAAGATTAAAAAAAATGTGGCAGGGGAGGAGCTTTCGTGAGACATGGCTCACTTCCTCAGATTCCTTTATCTGAAGTTAGCAGTGACTCACAAAAGCTCATACCCGGCCACAAATTTTGTTGGTCTTTACAGTGCTGCTGGACTCTTGCTCTTATCCCCTTTTTGTTTGCGGACGCAAGGGTCTTGAACAACCCTAACCATAGAATAACGGCATACTTCTTCTAAAGAATTTTAATTTTACTTCAAAGGGTCAATTCTGCTGTTTTCCCTCAAGTCCCTGTATAAATGGTTTGTCTATCCTCCTGGCTAACTTCCCCAGCTGAAACCAGCCCTAGTATATCGTGCTCTTCAGATGCTGATACTTCTTCTGAACGACTGAAGTACAAAAGCTTATTGTGCTTCTGGCACTTTTCACCACAGCCGTTCCCTTCTCTTGGGTGCATCTAGGATACGGCAGCTTTGGTGCCCAGCTGAGGAAATAGCTGGAAACGGAGGCCATGTGTAGTGCTGCAATTGGACATAATATTCCTTCACACCATACCATAGGGGGAAGGAGATGTGCAGTTGCGGCCAACCACCGAATAGAAACGTCCAAATAACGGCTGACGATGAAGAGATCGAATGTGTGGAAGAATTCAATTTCTTAGGATCACAGACCAACCAAAATGGTGAATGCAGTTCCAGAAATAAAACATCTAATCACGCTGGGTCGCACAGCAATGATGAGCATGAATCGAATATGGAAGAGCAAGGACATCAGCCTAGCAACCAAATGCAGATTTGTCTGTGCTATTGTGTTCCCCATAGCAACCTATGGCTCTGAAAGTTGGACCAGGAAGAAGCAAAACAGGAGGAAAATTGACTCATTTGAGCTGTGGTGCTGGAGAAGGCTCCTGCACATTCTTTGGACAGCAAAGGTGACAAACAAACAGGCTCTGGAGCGCTTAAAACCAGACATGCCATTGGAAGGAAAAATCACAAAACTGCTACAGACTTATTTTGGCTGCGTCATGTGGAAAGAACTCACTAGAAAAAGCAATTATGCTTGGATTGGTTAGCCACCAAAGAACATGGTAGCTAGATACCATAAAAGTCAACACTAGCCTGAGCATTATCCCCTTTTTGTTTGCGGACGCAAGGGTCTTGAACAACCCTAACCATAGAATAACGGCATACTTCTTCTAAAGAATTTTAATTTTACTTCAAAGGGTCAATTCTGCTGTTTTCCCTCAAGTCCCTGTATAAATGGTTTGTCTATCCTCCTGGCTAACTTCCCTAGCTGAAACCAGCCCTAGTATATCGTGCTCTTCAGATGCTGATACTTCTTCTGAACGACTGAAGTACAAAAGCTTATTGTGCTTCTGGCACTTTTCACCACAGCCGTTCCCTTCTCTTGGGTGCATCTAGGATACGGCAGCTTTGGTGCCCAGCTGAGGAAATAGCTGGAAACGGAGGCCATGTGTAGTGCTGCAATTGGACATAATATTCCTTCACACTGTACCATAGGGGGAAGGAGATGTGCAGTTGCGGCCAACCACCGAATAGAAACGTCCAAATAACGGCTGACGATGAAGAGATCGAATGTGTGGAAGAATTCAATTTCTTAGGATCACAGACCAACCAAAATGGTGAATGCAGTTCCAGAAATAAAACATCTAATCACGCTGGGTCGCACAGCAATGATGAGCATGAATCGAATATGGAAGAGCAAGGACATCAGCCTAGCAACCAAATGCAGATTTGTCTGTGCTATTGTGTTCCCCATAGCAACCTATGGCTCTGAAAGTTGGACCAGGAAGAAGCAAGACAGGAGGAAAATTGACTCATTTGAGCTGTGGTGCTGGAGAAGGCTCCTGCACATTCTTTGGACAGCAAAGGTGACAAACAAACAGGCTCTGGAGCGCTTAAAACCAGACATGCCATTGGAAGGAAAAATCACAAAACTGCTACAGACTTATTTTGGCTGCGTCATGCGGAAAGAACTCACTAGAAAAAGCAATTATGCTTGGATTGGTTAGCCACCAAAGAACATGGTAGCTAGATACCATAAAAGTCAACACTAGCCTGAGCATGGAACGACTCAAAGAAACAGTACAAGATTGGAAAAAGTGGAGAGAGCTGGCCCGTAGAATCGCCAAGAGCTGAACACAACTGAATGGCTAACAACAACACTGCCTAAGAGCCTGAGCCAACATCCATCCAACAGCACCACCCCTCCTTTTCGGCCATTTATGATTACTCACCGGGATCTTTAAGTCTTTTCACGTTCCTACTGTTCTTGAAGTATTCACCCAAAGGGCTCCTGGGGGGGGGGGGGCACACAAAATCCAATTAAGGTAGCTCAAGACTTTCCAGAAATGCATAAGAGAACAGAATGTTTGCAGAATTTCAAAGGGCCACAGCATCTACTCACTCTGCCCCCATCCCCCCCCCCTTTAGCCTGTTTAAAAATGTGCAGGGAGGGTGCATCACGCCCTTCCAACAATCCAAGTACTGGATTTGGTTAGAGATTACCCAGGGTCAAATCCCTGTCCGGCCCCCTCACTTTTGACCTTTAGGAGCCAGCCGAATAGTTTTATTCACAGTGGCTTTTGATTAGCCTTTGTTCTTCTCCCTACCAGCAGTACTAAATTGTTGGTTTTAATTTGTGGTTGGTTTGTTTTCGATGTATCTAATTGTGTTTTTATTGTAAGCTGCCTTGATTTCCTCTAGGGTAGATATGTGGCTGTCTTGACCTGGATAGCCCAGGCTAGCCCAATCTCTTCACTTCTTGGAAGCTAAACAGAGTCGGACCTGGTTAGTATTTGGATGGGAGACCAGCATGGAAGCCCAGGGCTGCTACCCAGAGGCAGGCAAAGGCAGACCACTTCTGCTCGTCTCTTGCCTTGAAGACCCCGTGCGACAAGTGTCACCACAAGATGGCTGTGACTTGATGGCACCTTCCACCCCACCCCAAAGCTGGAAAAGCCCTGGCCTGGATGGCCCCGGCCTGTCCTGATCTCATCAGTCCTGGGAAAGTAAGTTCAGTGTGATGCCAGAAAAACCCAGTTTACCACCGTACTTTATGCATGCCTTTCCCCTCCCAATGTTAAAGAATAAAACTACAGATGCCAGTTTACCTTCCTGGATTATTCTGTATCGAAACGGGAATGCTCAGGGAGCAGCAGGCCCCATCATGGTAGGCATCCAATAACCCTTGCCGGTCCCCAGAGTCATAGATAGCGTAGTATCTGTGAGAGAACTCAAGTGTTACTGAGCAAAATAGGACAGAAGAGATACCCATGCCTTAGGCCTATTTCTCAATGAAGCCTGAGCCGCATTAGCCCAGACTGCAGGTGATGGCTCATACAGCAGAATGCTTCCACATTGGGGGGGGGGGGGAGATGAACCCTGCGCATTAAGATCTAGCACATCAGGGAGAAGGTCAAACTGGAATCTTCCTTGCTCTAAAAATGTTACATTAAAGAACACACATACACACACCCATCTTGGGTGTGTTGAACCACACAAGCTCCTCACCAACAATCTGAAGCAGTACAGCCCAGAAAAGGTCACCATCTTGGTGAGGACAAAACAGACCCAAGATCGTCATCTCGCACCCCAGTGGAACGGTACAGAAAAGATCGATTTCTGGATCTAGCCATTCATACCCTCTTTCCCCTTCTACATCCTGGTGGGATGAAGTTTCATAGAAATCAATCATACTTTGAAAAATGAGTACCAAGAGACCACTGCCCAGCCTCACGCATCAGATACACGCACTGCAGAAAAGATGTCTGCAGAGCAAATAGCCCCAGATAATTCAGAAGAGGTAGCTCAGTGAGGCACGTCCAAGAAAAGGCTGAATAGCCAAAGGTCTGTAACTAACATGATTGTGGTGAAGGTCAGAGGAGAAATTTCCTTCCTAGAATAAGGAAATTTCCTTCCTTAAATAAAATCTTAGCCACTTGCTAGGTATTCTCAGCACAAATTGTATTGGAATGCAGCTCAAGACATTTCCTTCCTAGACCTTAAATAAAGTCTTAGCCACTTGCTAGGTATTCCCAGCACAAATTGTATTGGAATGCAGCTCAGTTCTACCCAGTAACCATCTTTTCTCTCTCTATGAAGTTCAAGCTTAAAACCCAAAGTCATTCCCCCCTCTATTTTTCTCTCTCAACATCTTTCCCTGACATTAGGAAAGGACACAGACTCAGTAGCAGAGCACATATTGGCATGCTAAGGAGCCTTTAACTGCTAGAAGGTGGCCTGTAAAAGACCTTGGGCCTGAGACCCTGGATAGCAGCTGCCTGCCAAAGCAGATCTCATTGGGTTACATGGACCAGTGCTCCAATGCAGTGAAAGGAATCCTCTAATAACACACTTGCATACACAGAAGAAGAGCTGTGGCTTAGTGTGGCAGAACACGCACTCTGCATGGAGAAAGTTCCAGGTTCAAACTACTTTAAATGACTCTCTGGTAGAAGGAGTTGGGAGAGACTTTTCTCTGCAAGATTCTATAGACAGCCTCTGCCTGTCAAGAGCAGACAATGCTAAGTCAGAAAGACTGAGAGTATAGGGCATATTTAAATAACTACAACCCTCGGCAAGGCCTGGTTGGGTTTTTTTTTGGGGGGGGGGGCAATCTATAGCACCATATTACTTAAGAGATACTATTAACAAAGCAATGACTATACATACTGCTGCAGAAATCGGAGAATCAGCACCTTCAGGTCGTCCGAAGGAAAATAGCTGCCCTGGATGAGAAAGAGAAGACACCTGTTAACCGTAGTCACATTGATAAAGCAGTGCTGTGGCAAACAGCCTTCCAACTCTAAGCCTCGTGATCTGAAGCAAGAGCTCAAAGAGACTCCGCGAACTGGGTGCAAGCTGCCCTTGCCCCCCACCTTTCTAGGTGGTTCTGTACCTTGCAGTCGGGCAGCGTAGTAGGTGCTTCTACATCAAAGGCAATGGGAGGGGGCAGTTCGTGACCATCCTGCAGAGGAGAGAAGCAGAGGAATAAGGCAAGAACCCTGTCAGACGTGAAGAGATGAGCCCGGACCCCACACTCCCCCATAAGAACTGACAGGTCTACTCACCAGCCTCAGCAGCTTCGGAAACCGTTCCCGGACAGCGCTGCCAGAACAGAAACAAGAGTGAAGCGAAGCAGTTTTATGGGCCGGGGGGGGGGGCTGCCCCCCACCCCCCCATCCACCACCTGTCTTGATGGCCCCTCTCTTCCGCTGTCATTGTCTCCGTAACCCAGGGAGCCCTATTTCAGCTAAGTCCCCGCATGGCCTCTGCCCTCTCTACCTGCTTGCACCTCCTGCAAATGCAGGCGTACTTACCCCCTCCCCCTTTAAAGCCAGGAAGGTAAGGCTCACAATAAGAACCTTCAACTATGCTCAAAGGATGGGGGAATTAAAAATTATTACTCCGGGCCAGGCAGATGGAAGCCCTTCTTTCTATTTAACTGCCCCCCCACCCCCTGGTAATTAGGCCAGGCAGCCTGAACAGCCTGATCTCATCAGAGCTTTGAAGTTAAGCAGGTTCAGCCATGGTTAGTTCTTGGATGGAAGACCACCAAGGAAGACTGGGGTTGCTATGCTGAGGAAGGCAATGGGAAACCACCTCTGCTTGTCTCTTGCCTTGAAAACCCCAAGGTCCTGGGGTTGCCATGAGTCAGTTGCGACTTGATGGCACAATTATATTGTCATCACAGAGGCCATGCCATCTCTCGACTTCCAAGTCCCCGATATACTACAGAAAACGTTCTTTAAGGAACGGAAAATGATTTCAATTCACTGTTTTTAAATATAGGTGTAGAGAAACACCACATAAAGCTATGTAATGGTGGTATTACTCACCAGAATATCTACGGAAACCCCAACAAAAGGCTGTCAATTTGAATTGTTCTTGGGAAGCCTAAGAAACTTACATGCACAAGCATTTTAAACAAGGCCCACAAAATGTGTGCGCAAAGCCCAGCAGTGATTTGTATAGCTGCACATATAACTAACTTTAGGAGTGACTTCTTTGGGCATTAGCTATGAAAGCAACACGACAAGAGTCACTTGAGAAGTATGATCATTAAGATCAGGTAACTTTTACAATCAGTGTTAGAGAGCTGCGTGACTCCTTTTGTTTCCATTTCTCCATACGTTACTATTTAACCTGACAGTCACTGCTGCAGAAACAATAGAGTCAATGTTCCTTTACCGAAACATGCAGCTCTGGACTTTGAAGAAGTCTGTCAGTGTTAAAATTGCAATTTTGTCCCCATGAAGAGGTCAAGGACAGTGGTGAGAGCCCGTCCGTTTCCAAGCATTTAGCAGGTAACAGCCCTTTGCTTGCCGAGCAAAAAATTAAAGTCTTACATAAAGCCTTGCAATTAAATTGTGCTTTTCCCACGGTAGTTTTACACATGCACATGGGTATGAGCTGCAGAAGACCACTCTGCTGAAGGGCTCCCTCGGCTCTGCACTACACTTACCTGAGTTCGTACTCACCCGCACAGCTCATTTATAGGAGAGGTGCTCCACAGAGGCAAGAGGGCATGGGTGGGGAATAGGAAGTAGGGGGAGTGGATAAGGATTCCCATTGGTCGTGGAGATGCCTGAGCCAACATCCTGGTACCCAACTTAAAACAGCTTGGGGAGGGTTCCTGCATCAAGGCCCAAATCTAATTAATGACTGAGGAAGAAGGGGGGGGGGGGGGGAGAAGCAAGGGTCGCAACAGACTGAAGGAAACAAAGAGGAAAGGCCTGGAAGCCCCTCCCTACCAATGCACAGCCTCAACCAGTCTTGGTGTCACCCCTGCCGCTCCCACCTCCTTGCAGAACACAGGTGCCTGCCTACGCCCACAAGGCGCCAAGAGAAATGAGGTTTGTTTCCACTTGCAGTGAGCATGAGAAAGACCTTCTTTGCAAAGAGCGCATTGCTTCAATCAGCAGCTGCGGCATCCCAGAGTCGGCACTGTCACTGCCCCCCCGTCATCAAGAAGCACAGAAATCAGCATCAAGGCTGTCCAAGGACAAGCGTGTAAGCAAGGCAGCTGTCCCTTGTCCGCCGGCTTCCTCAGAGGTGGAGGAAGGGCTTTTGTTTGGCCACTGTTATGACTGTGCCTTTCTTAGGTTGTTCCTCCCTTGAGGAATCTTACCCGTCTTTGGCTAACCAGCCCTCTGCACAGGCCAAACACACCAGGACTGCCCCAGCATCTGGCAGCTCACGTTCAACTCCAACAGAAACACGCTGCGTGCCCTGGCACAACACGGTACTTCTTGGAACGGCACGGAGGGGCTCTCATTAGACATGTGACAGGTGAGGCCCACAAGAAGGCGATGTGGCATGGCAGGCTTCAATGGGGCAGGGGTGGGAGATGCAGGAGGCGGCTAGACAGAATGGAAAAGACTGTGCATTGTGAGGTCCTAGAGCCCAGGGGGAGCTAAAAGCAAAGTGTAGTGCGGGCAGAGTGGACAGTGGAAGGAAGCAGCTAGAGGCCCCTTTGAAGATGATGAACTCGAGCAGAAGCACAGCTAGATTCGAGTCCAGCAGCACCTCAGACACCCACAAGATTTGCAGGATGCGAGCTTTTGAGAGTCAAAGCTCCCCTCTTCAGGCAGAAGTAGCAAGACTGTGCAAGGAAGGGAAGCAAGACTGGAGGGAATACGGGAGGTCACTTGAAAACCAAACTTTAGCTGTTAATTTCATAATGTTATTACGGGGGATTTGCATGGCAGGAGGGCTGGGCAGCGCTCCGATCGAGCTGAAACAAAATAATCATCAGAGGCATCACAATAAGGATTCGGGAACGCAGAGACTCTTCAGGGGAGACTTTGCCATGGCAGAGGTAGACGGTGCTACATACAGAGATTGAGTAGATCAACCAGGTGGCCCTGGGTGGGTCAAAACCTCTTGATAAGGAGGCAGCTCGTCTCTACGGAGTCCTATTTGCCCCATGGGCAAACAAGGGGCCAAATAAATGCAAGTGGGGATGGGAGGGCGGAATGGAGGGGTGCCCTGCCACAGCCAGCCAGGGCAGCCCCGCGGCTGCCCCTCACCTGATATAGGTGGACTGGTCCCGGAAGTTATCACACAGCGGATTGTTGTCCAGCCACAGTTCCTCAAGCTTTAACGTTTTCAACTTGTCCAGATCACGGTCCGTCTTCAACTGGAGGCAGTTGGAGGAGGTGGGGGGGAAAAACCAGCATAGAGTCAGAAGAAAAAAATTTAAGAACAGAAGACCAGGCTGAAGACAGTGAGCACCTGGGTCTACCTGGTTGCAGGACAAATTGAGGATTTTCAGATTGGGAGCCTTCTCGGCAATTTCGGCCATATCATCCAGCCGGTAGAGCTTGTTGTCGCTCAGGTTGAGAGAGAGAAGCTGCAAAGAAGCAGATGCAAGTGAGGCGGGCGTTCAAAGGGGAAAGGCGCTCCATTTTTTTAAAGCAAGGCAAATTTTAAGTGTCTCTAAACAGAACCTAGCGTCACAGACACAAAATACTCAATGTAGCAGTAGGGACGCGAATCAGGCAAAAAAGTGTAGAATATGGTTGCAAGCTTTCATTGTTGTTCAGTCGCAGGGTCAAGTTCGACTCTTCGTGACCCCATGGACCAGATCACGCCAGGCCCTCCTGTCTTTTGTCGTGCTCTGGAGTTTGCTTCATTTCATGTTTGCTGCACTGTCTAACCAAGCTTGCTCAGGCCCAAAGATGGCTGAACTAAAGAGGACCCATCACTTCAACCAAGTGTTCAAGAGAATGAGCTGCAATCCAGAAGTCTTTGGTTTAAATCTCACTTCTGCCACAAACTCACTAGACAACGGTAGGCAAACCACTCTTCTCAGCCTCTCTTGCATTTTCAGCATGGTGATGGCCTGCCTTACAGGGGTGGGGTAAAGATTGCAACACTATATAAAAGCTATATATTATCCTAATATGCATCCTTGTTTTTAACATGTCCTTTAGGTTCTCTGTTCCCTGCCACACATTGTGTGACCACCAGATTACAAGCTTTAAAATCACAGCCTCTCAATTTGGGTTCACAAAGTATTACTGATAATGCTTTTTCTCTAAAGGTGGGAAGAGAAGATTGCTATTTTGCTGGGGGTGGGGGGAGACTCAGACGGAAAACTAGTGAGATGAGGACAGAAAGCTTCAACAAAGACTACCATTGTTCAGCTCAGCCGATTCAGGTGATTTTGTTTTGGAAGCTGAGTCAAGTTTCAACCACCTAAAATCTCTATGACAACACCGAACATCAGTTTAAACTTTTTGCAAAGGGTGAACTCTCGTTTGCTGCCAACTTGGTAAAAGGGCTTCTGTTCACATGAGAACTTGGTTTTTGAGCCAAGAAAGCCAGCCGTGAAATACACAACACATGCTCAGAAATCTATGCAAGTGGGTACACAGGACACAGGGGGCCCAACAAAATCTGAAGCAGAGGGGGCAAAGACTGCTGACCTCAGGGATGTTCTCCTCAATGATGTGCAGCATAGTTTGCATACAGTTTCGGCGATGCAACACCACATCCATGTTTTGAGCCACCAGATCTGAGGAATTTAAAAACAAACCAGGCATTATCAATCTCATTTTTCTCAGCAGGACTCCCTGGAAACCCCATCCCTGGTAACACGTCTTTCCTTCACTTGCAGCTGCAATTAGAGCATTGTGATCTCTGCCAGACAAATAACCCAGATTCTGAGGACTGTCTGTACTGCATGTTTACCGGTATTGATTATGCTTTGCTTAAGTGAAGGCTGAAAGCCAAACTTCACTCCATTTTCTCAGAAAAGCAGCAGCCCTGGCTGCGAAGAAGCAACTGGATCTACCTACCTGGATCTGTCCGAAGGCTCTTCAGGTCCAGGGCCTGTTGCGAACCATCGTACCTCCTACTCATACAAAGCTGGAAACAAAAGAGAATTCATTGAGGATCACATCCTCCCCACAACAGGGGAAGTGGGAGAAGTCTGATTTTCCTTCCCTCTCCCCTGGTCTGACTGACTAAAGACCCCATTCAAGCTCTTTGAAATGCACACCAGAATCTCCGAATTTCTAAATCTCCTATTGCCCTAATCTGAGACCTACTATACCTAGAGGGCCTCTCATCATTCTCCCATTTCCACCAGGCCTTGTGGGCCTCACACTTCTCCACCCCTTATTTCACTTTCTGGAGCAGTCAGATGAACACATGAAACTGCTTCCTGCCTAACGGTCCATTTAACCCAATACTGACTCTTTTGTCTGGCAGCAGCTCCCCAGGGTCTCAGAGAACGGTTATTCCCCAATACCTGCTATTACAGCACGTGCATTTCACTTGCCCTAAAGAGTTGACATTGGCTACAGATTTGCATCAGGGCTCAATTCAAATGCTGGTTAAGACCATATGGGACCAGAGAATTTGAAGGACTGCCTATGGCTATTTGAATGTGCTCACTGCTGCTCTCATCCTTAGAATCTCTACCCTGTATGCCACCATTATCTGAAAGAAGCTAACTGGCCACACTAAGAGATTCGCCTGTCGGCTGCCTTGAGAGGTGGGCAGAGCAGCATGGAAATTAAATACCACTTTAAACAGATAACCAGCGATTGAACTCTGCCATCTTCTGAACACAAAGCACTGAGCTATTATCTGCAGCCTTCCTTTCATTTAGTCTCTTAAATGTTTGAAAACGCTCATCCTGCCATGACTCACAATTGATATCGAGCCCCAAGCATCCTTGAAGACGGCAGATCTTGCTGAAGCTACAACAAGTTTGGGTGTGGTCTGTACCTAGATGAGAAGCCACCTGAGAATGCACAGGTATGCCACTTGGAGCCCCACCCAAAGAAGAACAGTAGGCTGGTAAGTGTAACAAATAGTTTCAGGTGAGTAGCCGTGTTGGTTCTGAAGCAGCAGAGCAAAGTTTGAGTCCAGTGGCACCTTTAAGATCAACAAAGCTTTATGCTGGGTATGCTGAGTGCATGCCCACCCAGAATAAAACTTTGTTGGGTCTAAAGGTGCCACTGGACTAAAAAAATAAAATACTGGAGAAGTACAAGAGAGCAACAGACCTGACAGGATGGCAGGTGCCCCAATGAAGGAAAACAAGCTGAGTTCGGGAAGTGGTTTGTATTCCTGCATTCTCCCCATATTCTCAGTCCAAAGAACAAAGGGCTGTCCTCCAAAAGACATATAATTCCATCCCAACAGACCTCTAGAGATATGTTTCCAAACAGAACAGCACACACCCCCAACACACAAAACCCTAGAAATAACTTGCAGGCTGGCGATCAGATAGCAAAGAGATCCCAATGGCTGCTTTGGCATCTTTCACTCACCTTCAACTGCTCAATCTCTTCTGGCTTCAGTTCACGCTGGACAGTTGGTGGTGCACTCCATGCGTTTATCATTATGACCACCTGAAAAACAGGCCACCTCAAACTTAGGGAGGGCGAAGAGGGGAGTTTGCTGCAGGCCAAGCCAGCAAGGAGTGCCACAAGCCTGTGGCAGGTATGCTGCTCTGGAGGCAACCAGGACCAAATCTAGGCACAAATGATTACATGTCCCCAATCATTCTGGAATGAGCCCTCCCTCATATGTCCCCTTTTCTGTTACCCTCAACCAGGGCAGTAGTGTCCAAACCTTGTAGCCATCTGGGTCAACAATTTTTCGGGACAAGTGCTTGAGGGCATTGGCAGCAGCAGCGTCCTCAACGTAAAACACAACTCGATTGTTGGCAAAGTGAACCTGTGGGAAGAAAGCAGCGTATGTGAGATATTCTAATTTTTTTTAATGAAGAAGCTGACAGTTGAGAACTGCATATAAACATGGAACGGCTCTAAAATTGTAAGATGCGTAGGAACAGCTTACAGTAACTAAAGGTTCCCCCAGTGCCAACATTGCTGCTGATTCCACCCCCAGCACCTTTCACACACCTATCTTTGTGAGAACATAGGCGTTACTAAGGACGGGTGGGATAAAAATGCAATGGATATGTAAAATGGGCAGTTATTTCCTAGACGTTTGATAAGCAGAATACAGGTCCACCCCGATTTATTGAAATATTTATACCCCACTTTCCTCACTGTTCACAGTGACTCAAGGTGGCTTACAAAACAGTGCTAACCAAGCACTGTCCATAACTAAGAGAACAAAAATATTCAAAGACAGACACACCCAAAACACTGTGACAGCAACAGGAAAAGAGACATTGGACTCCACTGAATGCCCCTTCATACAAAAAGGCTTTATAATAATTCTGAAACAAAGCTAGCATAGCGGACCTCCTAAAGGAGATTACTGCAGAAGGCTGGGAGTACAGCCAAAAAAAAAAAGCTTTCAAGCCACAGCTGATTAAAATCAGAGGAACACAATAAAGGTAAGCTCTCAGAGCAACGAGCAGAAACCTTCAGCCAATCAGCTGCTGGGGAGCACAGGCAGGATGATGCTGTTGGGAGTCTTGCTATTTGTGGGCTTCCCAAAGGTAACCAGTTGACCCCTGTGTGGACAGAATGCCAGACTAGATGGGCCTAAGGTCTGAGCAGGGCTCTTTTTATGTTATGTTCATGTTCCTTTGAATTGTGAGATAGCCCAGTTCACAATAGTGCTGGAATGGGACGGTATTTTCCAGGTAATGGAGATGCTTCAGGGATTTTCCTGCACCCTTCCACTGTAGCAAACAGTGGCACATTTTTACCCCCTTACTCAGGACAATGTTGCCAACCAATACACTGGCCCACAGAGTGGGATAAGTGTTATAGAAGAGAAGAGATTGAATTTGTACCCTGCCCTTCACTCGGAGTCTCAGAGCGGCTTACAAACTCCTTTCCCTTCCCCTCCCCACAACAGACACCCTGTGAGGTAGGTGGGGCTGAGAGAGCTCTTTCAAGAACTGCCCTTTCAAGGACAGGTCTGACAGAACTATGGACTATGTCTTGCCCAAGGTCATCCAGCAGCATCAAGTGGAGGAGTGGGGAATCAAACCCGGTTCTCCCAGATTAGAGTCCGCTCACTTAACCACTATACCAACCTGACTCTGATAGGCACGAAGTGGTGGATGCACATAACATGGTTCCAAGTACACATGTGCTCCTCAGTTTGGTTATTAATGTGCCAGACTGTCACTTTAAGGCAGAAAGGATGAGACTCTCTTACCTCCAAAGGAATGAAGGGAACAGTGCATTGATTCTGAATGGCATTAAGAAGCCATGACTTTTCATATTTCCTCCCATAGGGAACCTGAGGACAAAACACAGAAGCAGATGAGGGCTAAAACGATGACAAAACAAACTTCTGAAGAATAGTACCTCCTAATCCAGAGGATGTTAAGGTGATGGGGAGGGCTGAGGTTTATTAATGTATCAAAGGCTAAGAAAGAAAAGGTTGTCTCTAACCCAGAAGGCATCAGTTCTGCAGCTCTGAGAGCAGAAATGTTATGACTTAGCTAGGGAAGGGGGAAGGAGACAGGTTTCTCTCTCACTTCCCCCAGCTCCTGCTTTTAAAATAGTAGGGTTATAGGAAACTGGCAAATCCTGAGCATTTAGAAAGGATGGCTGTGATTACTAAGAGCCAGCATGGGTTTCTCAAGAACAAGTCATGTCAAACTAACCTTATCTCTTTTATTGAGAAAGTTACTACCTTGCTGGATCAGGGGAATGGTGTAGACATAGTTTATCTTGATTTCAGTAAGGCTTTTGATAAAGGTTCCACACAAAACTCTTGTTGGCAAATTGGTAAAATATGGCTTGGATCCTATTTAGGTGAATCTGTAACTGGTTGACAGATTGTACTCAAAGAGGAGTGACAAGTGGAGTGCCTCAAGGATCTGTCCTGGGACCTGTTGTGTTCAACATCTTTATAAATGATTTGGATGAAGGAATAGAGGGAATGCTCATTAAATTTGCCAATGATACTAAATTGGGAGGGGTAGCAAATATGGTAGAAGACAGAGTCAAGATACATTTAGGTAAGAAAAATCAAATGCATAATTATAGGATGGAGGAGACTTGTCCTGGCAGTAGTATGTGCGAAAAGGATCTAGGGGTCTTAGTAGACCATGCACTGAACATGAGTCAGCAGTGTGATGCGGTAGCTAAAACGTCAAATGTGATTTTGGCCTGTATCAACAGAAGTATAGTGTCCAGATCACACCGAAGTGATGGTATCGCTTTACTCTGCACTGGTTAGATCTCATCTAGAGTACTGTGTTTAGTTTGGGGCACCACAATTTAA